AGAGGAACCTTGTCAAATATGATACAGTTGTCGAGTGCAACAATTGCGTAGACCAAGAGACCTAGAGACCGAAAGCGTAGCAAGCGAGAGAAAGCTGGCGTTTAGCAGACACCATAAATACGCCCACATTCGCACTCACACACTCACACTCACGGTCCCAGTCACGCCCACACCGACACGAGTCTAGAAAGTGCGCCCATTAGCCAAGGCCAAGTTGGGCCCAAGTTGGTCAAGATGCTTGCATGCCAATGGCCAATAAGTCGGGCTCGCACGCAAAAACCAAAACAAAAGCCAAATTAAAATTGGAGTTGCTTGCTTCAATTTTCTTTTCTTTTCATTTTGTGAAAATGGAAAGTGTGCAAAAACGTTCAAAGTACGTACGAGTGTGTGTGTGCGTGTGTGTGTGTGTGTGTGACTTTCTAAATTTGTTTGAGTTTCGCTCGTGGCCGCTAACTAAATTAGAGCAGCCAAGGGTCAGCGCCAGCTACTGTTAAAATGGCGGCCGCGTCGGCGTCGGCGTCGGCGTCGGCAGCGGATGTGGACTGAGACCGGAAATGGCTCGGTGCTGTAAGGGGCTAGTTGGGCTGGGCGTGTGCTGAAGGCAAACAAGGCACATGACCAACAGCACCGGCTTAAGTGTTGAGGTTAGTGCTGACGCATTTGCAGCCAACACCAAGACAATAGCAGCAACAACAACAGCAGCAGCAACAACAACAACAACACTTTAATATATAAATGCACTTGACTCGAAATATTTGTTTGCCGCACGGGCCAAGCAGCATAACAACAAAATGGCGGCCATAAATTTAGTCAACGTCGACAATAGCGGCCCTTAAAAGTCAGCAATAAATGTTTTCCATTCGCCGAACAAAGCTGACACGCTTTTCCATGCCATTCCAACTGCAGCCCATTTGCATTTGTTGTTGTTGTTATTGTTGCAATTGCTGTAGCTATTGTTGTTGTTGCCGTTGCTGTTGTTGCTATTGTTTTTATTGCAGCAGGCAATCGGGGCCCCATCAGTTATGCGAGCTCTAAGTGGAATTTTGGCACTTGAGCCATTTACAATTTCCCATTCTGTGCACTTGAATTGATGCGTTTTCCCAGCTTATAAATGGAACTGTAAGGAGGCGAGTCCTTCAAATTAGATTAGAGTAGCTCTAATACACGAGAGAGGCTTCCGTGTAAGAAATTTACTCTTTAACTAAATGATATATGATGATATGAAATGCATATCAATTGAGATAAGAGTTTCTGATCAATAGTTTGGAGAATGTATCTCAATCGATATTTTTACTTTTATTTATATGGGACACTTTATTTTTAATCAATTTACTGCATACAAACATTTTTTAAACTCTCTTCCATTTCCTTGGTGTTCTTAGGACTGCACAAGGATCGAATTTTTATCTGATGTCCATAAGCTCGATCATTTTAATATGAGAGCTATCCTCGCATACTGGAACTCAAACATTATTTGAGTTTTGCATTTAGAACCTTAATGTGCCAAAATCATGCGTCTACTCCATCTATATGTATCTCTAAACACGTGTTGTTAAAGACTCTTCTATTTCATCTCTTGGCTAATTACCTCTGTTCGTATGGATGCCAGCATGGGCATGCATGAGTGTGCTTCTCCATTTTCAATTAGTGTCCAAGTCAAAGAAATCATTAATCACAACCTCCGTCCGCTCGCAGCAACTTTCAGCCATGTCATCCAGCATTGGCTAAGCGTTAAATGGCTAGTAGGCTAATTTTTAATAGCTGTCCATGTTGTTGCTCTTGCTTATATATTACGCAGCACAGCTCCATTAGGGATGTATTCAAGAAATGACCCTGACCGTAACCTGAGACACTCTACATACACACACACACATACACACACACACACACAAGTGCACAGCTGAAGGCTCCCTCGGGGCGTTATCAAACTATTTATGGCCAATTAAGTATTCATTTTGTAATTGTGCATACGTGTAGGAAAATTATGTCTAAGATTTATTGGGTACAGTGTGATGGGTCTCTCAGTCTCTCTCTTTCTCTCCGTGTGTGTGTGTGTGATGTCATAAATTCTGACGCCATTCTCTCACATTTTACGACAAGGACCGGGCTGTCAAATGAAATTATATAACGTGCAGCGAACGAGGTCCCGTCTCACATTATTACAGCACGGAATTAATTGCAATTTAACTTTTAGTCTGGTGTCAGACGTCAAGGCAATTCAACAGGTTTCAAGGTGTTGTTGCCCACTTGACGCATTCACACACACACACACACACACACGCAAACGTGTTGCATATGGCAGAACGATGGAGTACTTTACGCTTTGCATGCAACTTATTTTCATTTCGCGCCACAAATAATTGCATAAAGTTGAGTGCAGTGCACGCGACTCGAAGAGCAATCTAAACACAAAAACGCCAACAATGTTGTCAAAAATCGCGCTCGCTTTGCCATTGCCATTTGTAAAAAGCGACCCTCTCTAATAAATAGTAATTTAACCGGACTAAATTCAAGCAATACTAGCGAGCATATAAACATACGTACATATATATAGTCCTTCGTATGTGTACATATGTATACAACAATAATTTCGGCCTTGCACGCCAGATCCAAGTGAAATACTCAGAAATGTGACGGGCGCTTTGGGCATCAGTGAATACAACACTCAGCGCTCAGGACATGCGATTTCTTATATGGAGCAATCAAATACCCTAAAATTTAAAGCGCCGGAATTACACATAATGCAAAGTATAAACGGAAACGGAAATGAGTTGCTGGAATTAAAAAGAGATTTATAGGCATAGGCAGACTTACTTATGCGAAGCACTGATCGAAGTCGAATCCAAGTCCAGGCTAAAACACATATGGACTTTTATATGCTGCTATTGTATATGTCAGTCGGCAACAGATGCATATTTTATAAGATTAATAAATAATTGCAACTCACTTTGCGCGACAATTAAACTGCCTGTGGTAGTAAAATAATCGATTATTGTTTATCATATGATTAATGGAGCCATAATTAATAATGTTCGATAATCTGCGTGTTATCTGAGACCAAGTCATCCCTTAGCTGCTGCGACAATGCAGGGGCTAACAAAAATGTAACCTGAGCCTAGACAACACTCAAACAATCTAAAATCTGACACTAAGCATCTGTGCACTAGTGTGCATGGAAAATGTACTCCAGTACTTCCAGTGGCTGGAAATAGATTCTCGTGTTTGGTATATAAGATTAGCACTTTAAGCAAATAAATAAAAGATTAGTAATTTGAACAATCTTGGATTTGTCAAATGTGGAATTATTTTATTTAGCTATCTATCAATAATTATTATGTGTCGAAGCCTATCAAACTAATTCTCCTTGAATTGTATTTCTTATCTGTAATGCTCTACATCAATGAATATTGAGACGATTTATTGAAGCTGTACGTTTATTTATTGTTTGCAAAAATATATTTAAAGTCAGCAAGAAATAAATAAGAATAAGAGAATCATAAAAGAAATAAATCAAATTATTTTATTTTACCAAAAAATATTTAGGATTCTTGAAAATGACTGTGGAAATGTTTAACGTTTTCATTTTTATATACACACAAATTATATAAATATAAAAAAATTATATAGTCAAGTATTTAGAGTTCATGTACAATGCTTACACATTTCAAAAAACATTAAAAATAGTCAAATTATTATAAGTGTTTCCTCCCCAACTTGATAAACAACAACTGCAGCCCACACATTGTCCAAATATAAATAGCTGTTCCATTAATAAAGAAAAGGCAGTCAAGGCTATTGCGGCATGGCTTTTATCTAGGACTGTATGCAGTTTAATTAACATTTTATGGCCAATAGGTACGCAGCCCTGCGCTTATTACAATGCATTTCCGGTTGGCATAAAAATTCAAATTTGATTGCAATGCGGCAGAAATTGCGATTTAGGCAAAGGCCAAGCACAAATGCAATTTGAAACATTCGCATTTGCCCAGGCCGAAATGGGCAGCGCATATTTTTCAACCATCACGTATTTCCTGCAGTTATATATATTTGTTGTATATGTGTGAATGTGTGCGTGTGTGCGTGGTATGCGCCATGGCGAATGTTGATCCATCAAAGGCGAGTAGCATTCACGACTGTTTGGCGGCAGAATTTGTGCGCAGCCTTCGGCTCTTGCAAATTAACTGTAATAAATGGGCGACCAAATCGGTGTACTAGAACTCAAATGTTTTTGCCTTTATCTATCAAATCGAATTGTTGATAAATTTTAACACAAACACATGTATAAGTTTCCATGTATTAGATTATAGATTGGGCTCAGGCCATTCTCCACTACTTTTCGAATAGCTGAGCTGTGAGCTCTTCTAGCTGCCAGTCCATTGGATCGTATATATCATATATCCCCATACACCCAAAGAGCTACGCAACATTTTCACTGACAATTACAGACCCGTATCATTTCATAGATTGTTGTCATAGCTGTTATCGCATTAAATAAATTCCTAGCTGTCTGTAATTGTGTTACAATGCTAGCCAGCGGAGCTGTAGCCCCAATAAGTATGCTTTATAAAACCCGTTGCCTCATATATACCCTGCACCCATAGAAAATTGGATTCCCAGTCATATTGGCTTTCTGAAATTGTAGGTCAGAGGCAGAAGGAGGCGTGACAGAACTCAAAAGGTATAAATAATCTTCATCTGGGTGAGAAGCTGAGTTAAAATAGCCAACTCCGTCTATTTCTCTATCCGTCCGTCCAGCGATCCCGTATATCAGCTTTTCGAAGAGTAGAGGGTATCTCCTAGTCGGGCAGTCTCAAGTGGAGATACAATAGTTCTTATCACAGCTTATCTTATCAGCTGTCAATAAATATTGTTGAATAAATGCACGGGCGTGGCATTGCTGTGGCTCAGACATATTCGACATTAGATATTTGATCAGCTTTCCAGCCAGCTCGTAACTGTATTATAATTTATTTGCTAACCGCACTTTATCTCTCTTGCAGCTATATCCCGTTAAACAACAACACACTGCTTATTAGAGCCCCACAAAATGCTGCCAATCTTCGCCTGAGCCAGTCGAAGTTCGAATTAAAGCCCAATTTAGCCCAAAACCTAGAAATAAACTGTGATCATAGCCTAAACACGCAACAATAACACCTAGAGAAACAACAACAAGAATAACAAGAACAACGACCAGCAACCAGCATAAACAAACACAACAACGCCACACACACAAAGACATGAAGGACAGCTGCCAGGAAGTGAGACAGAGACCCAGCCAGAAGCAGTCGGATGCCAAGCGAACAGTGTGCCAGAGCCAGAGTCCCAGCCAGCTAGAGACCGTAACTGCTGCCCAATTGCTGAATTTATAGATCTCCAGATTTATCAGATAACAGTAAATTGAAATCAATTGCGCACAAGCAGCAGCAGCAGCAGCATCAGCAACAGCAGCAGCCGTAGGAAAACCAATATAGCCAAAGGACTAGGGAAAAGAGGAACGACGCCGGAACGACAGAGGTGGCTGTAATGACAACAATTGACGCGATGTAGCGGTAAGTAGCAGGAGCGGGGTCACACATATACATACATCTGCTAACGGTAATTTGTGGCATTTGCCATCTGCAGCAGACTTATGGTCGGCGAACGCGACAGAGACCGTGAGGCGGTACGCTGGGCAACGGGTGAAACAACACCGCTTCAAAACAATAATGGAGTGTTACAAATGGTCGGGCAATTGCATGGTGGACAGGCTGCTAGCCAACAACAGCAACAGCAACAACAGCAACAAAGTCAACAACAACAGTCAAAGCAACAGAAACTTCAACAGAAACAGCAACAACAACAGCAGCAACAGCAGCAACAGCAGCAGCAGCAGCAGCAGCAACAACATCCGGAACTGTTTTATCAGCAACACGAGGCAGCTGCGCGTGGACTGCAGCTTGCGGGAACAGCCGACGGCGGCGATAATCAGCCCTATTACGATACAAGCGGTAATGTCGATTGGGAGAGAGCGATGGGAACCGGTGGAGCTAGTTCATATGGTTGCGTCGGTGGAGCTGTCACAGCAGCTGGCGGCGGTGCTTATAACAGTGGGCCAACTGTTGCCGGCGGCGCTGTTGTCGCCAACAATCGGCACTTGGATTATGCTGATGGCATCGGCATTGCTGGCCCATCCGCCGCACCAGCAGCAGCGCACGCAGCAGCTGCTGCTCTCGGCCTGGGAGCTGCTGGTGGAGGCGGGAACGTTGCAGCGGGGCCGGTCGCAGGCGCCGGGGGGGCTGTCGGTAGCAGCACCGGGGCCATTGGCAAGGAAGTTCGTTACGCTCCATTCCCAGTTACATCACCAACGCATTCAAATCCCACAACTTCCCAGCAGACTCTTGCGCAGCAGCAGCAGCACCAGCAGCAAATGGCACTTGGTGGTGGGGCAGGCGGCGGCGGAGGTGGTGGTAGTGGAGCCGGCAGCGGCATTGCTGGTGGCAGCATTGGTGGCCCCGCTAGCAGCAGCCTCGGCGGCGGTGTGGGCGGGCTGGGCGGTGTTGGCGTCGGCGTCGGCGTTGTTATGCTACCGCCAGGTGGCGGCTCGCATGCCGGCATCAGCCATAGCAATACAACCGGCGCCCTGCAGCGGACACATTCCAGATCCATGTCCTCCATACCGCCACCGGAGCCGTTCATGATAGCGCAGTCGAAGCAGATGAACAGCCGCGTCTCCATCAATGTGGGCGGAGTCAAGCACGAGGTGCTGTGGCGCACATTGGAGCGCCTGCCCCACACGCGGCTGGGCAGGCTAAGGGAGTGCACCACCCACGAGGCCATCATAGAGCTGTGCGATGATTACTCGCTGGTCGACAACGAGTACTTCTTCGATCGTCATCCGAAGAGCTTCAGCTCCATTTTGAATTTCTATCGCACCGGGAAACTGCACATTGTGGATGAGATGTGCGTGCTTGCGTTTAGTGATGATCTGGAGTACTGGGGCGTGGACGAACTGTATCTGGAGTCGTGTTGCCAGCACAAGTACCATCAGCGCAAGGAGAACGTGCACGAGGAGATGCGCAAGGAGGCAGAGTCGCTCCGGCAGCGGGACGAGGAGGAGTTCGGCGAAGGTAAATGCGCGGAGTACCAAAAGTATCTCTGGGAGCTGCTTGAAAAGCCCAACACCAGCTTCGCGGCTCGGGTAAGTCCAATCAGTTACCAGCTGAATCATCTACCCTATCCGTACTGTGTTTACTTACCTAACATCATATACTATATATGCTATATTTAACGTAACCGTATTCATTATCCGTTATCCGTATGTGTCAATGTCAACTGTCCAGCGTAAGCGAAAAAAAAAAAACATTAATAAATAAGAAATCAATCAACATATATCTATTTATACTTTCCTCTTTTCTGTAATTCTGATCTTGAGTTATGTGGAATTTGGTTTGTGTTCCATTCGATTTTCGTTTTGTCTGTGCGACTTTTCAGTTCCGTATGAATCCGAATATTATTTTTACACTATTCAATTGCATTTAGTGCGGCATTTACAGCACTCTGTAAATACAAAATTCACTGCCAAGCGCATCGAAAATAGTGTAAAAATAAGATGAGCCCCTGCTGTACCATATAATGCCTCAATATATGTATGAATCTATTCACAACCACTCTATTATATACATATATTTATATATTTATGTATATAAATATGCTGAAAAGTTGCGCCGTTTGCGTTTGCCTTGCGTTAAAAGAAGCTTGCACAAAACTAACTGAAACAAGTTTATAGCCCTCATATATTTCATACAAATATTCGAACATGTCAGATTTCAATTCCTCGATAGGCATGCCTATCGATTTATCTATACATATATATATATATAGCTGTATTGCTTAATTTGCTGTTTAACTTCAAGCTAAGCTAGCCGCTTTGCTGCTCCTCCTCCTCCTGCTGCCGCCGCTGTAAATAAGTCTGGCAACCTGCTGTGCGAGATGAAAGCCAAGCTTTGGCCCTGTTTCAGTGTTGTGACTGTGACTGTATATACAATATATACCTTAACATACACACAGCTATGTATATATATGCAACAATATATATACATACATTTATGTTTATCAATCAATATATACGCCTCCTTATGTCAAGTAACTCAGCTCATAAGTTCGCTCAGTGTATTCGATTGCTTTTGTGTTGTGCCCAAATACAGCGTCACATTCAAGGGCAACAGACAAAGTACAAAGGACCTGCAGGGCCTGCTCGCACAGGACTTTCACTCAGTTTAGGTTCCTTCCAACTAACTTACATATCTCTAAGAGTTTGGCATCTGACATCGAGGGGAGTGCCGCTCCTTGCGTTATATTCGTAATATCATTTTGCGTTACACTTAACCTTTGATTGCCCCCACCTTTAGTGTTCTTATAGTAAACACAGATTTGGTTTGATTATTGTTTCGTTTCGTAATCCGACTTAAGTATCTATCTGTCACTAACCATGCGACGCCGTGACACCGACACCCCGTCTGTCGCTAGAATCGATCAACCTCATCTACATCATTTTAATTATTAGCATTAGCAACCGCACATCAAGTGCAATCAATGGAAAAATCAACCAAATTTATTTACTAATCGTTTTCTAATCTAACCGTTTTTTTTTATCACACACAGTATATATGAACAACTACATATATTTATAAATTTATACAAACTTTATACTCTCTCTCTCTATATATATATATATATTACATAATTTAATCTCTTAATTGTTGATGATGATGGTGAAGTAATCTCTCTCTATTTATCTCCAATCTTACTCCTAAACAAAAAACAACCCTTGTAACAATGTTTGGGAATGGGCAATAAGCGATATGACCAGGCGGCAGGTGTGCTGTAGAAATCCTCGAAAATATTGTAAAGAGAAAGACCTCTGGGGAGAAGCGGCTAAAGTCGTGTTGTAATACATTTCCATTTTCCATAGAGGTTAGATCAAAGCCCCGACTATTAATGTATAGCTTTGGCCTGGCAGCTCAGCTCAGCAACTTTTCAAGCGTCCCTCGATGACGCTTCGCAGCGGCTGTGCTCTCAGACGCCACGCCCCGCCCCGCCCGCTCTTGTACCATAACTGACCCTGATCATAACCCACCCACACCCATCTATAAATATATCTCAGCACTCACACAGTTTGGCTTCAGCTTGTAAATAGCAGCCGATTATTTGCCAATATCTCAAGTTCTGTTAGCTTTAGCTTAAGGCAATGGCCGAAAATGGAAATAATTACAACATATTTGGGCGCATCTCCAATAATTTTTCATTCGATTTTAATTTCCTTTTCATTTAAATTATGTATTTTTTCGTTAAAACTAACTGAACAAATTTGCAGGTGCAATAAACATTTTGTATTGGCTACGCATAATAAAAATATTTATTATTTTCACCAATTTCAAAAGCTTTTGACAATACAAAAGAAAAGCTGGTGAATATAAAATCGTTTTATTATTGCATATTTTAAATTTCAATTTCAATTTATTACAATTTATTGGCCCTCTGAAAATGTGCAAGCAAAATTTAACATTATTAGCCAATACAATTTCGTTGCAAAGAATTAGGCGAAAATAACAATTAACACAATTTTTGGTTTGTCATTTTACAAAGGTAATGAAAAATTTCCAGAGCTCTTTGCCAGTTGTTCTCTTAAAATTTTTATTTTGTTTTTCCTCAACTACTAACGAAGTGAGAAGAGAATAAACAACGTTTTTATTTGTGTATGTTTTTAGTTCTTTTCTAATACCTCGCCTAAACACATCCTTTTTTATACGAACAAGATAAATATGAGAACCAAAACAAAAGACAGTAAAAAGTAAAAAGTATACAGTAAAGAGTAAAGAGTAGTATTTCGAAATACTCCAAGCTACTCTCAGTTGTTACCTACGTTGAAAGAGTTTAGTCCAGTTTAACCCATTGGTGAACGATTTACCAAACTGTTGGCAACGAAAACGCGCTCACACGACCAACATTTGCCATTAATACTAAATGAATTACCCACAAATACCGATATACAACAACCTTACACACACACATATATATGTATTATATATATTTAATTTGTACAACCAAATTGAACTCGATGTTTTGATATTGTGTATTTCCTTTTGATTTACCTTTTGTGTTCCTTTTGGCGGCACGATATATATATACTAGCCCATCTATCGTATATATAATCGTACTCGTATTCGATACTCGTATTTGATGTCTTGTTATCTATTGCATACAGAAAATTTTCTTAACTCTTTGTTGTGTTTTAACGTATCTTACCTTTGATATTGACTGTTGTAACCCATTGGTCTATTGGCTTCGTAAACTACTACTACTAAGTACCTCCAATCGAATCAACTCAAAAACTTGAAACACACACAAACAGACACACACACTTACACACACACGAATACAATTAACGAGAACCTAAATAAAATTGAAGTATAAATAGATACCAAACCCGATACTATGTCATTCAGTCAGAACTATGAGAGTAATTTTCATTTTTCATTCCTTTTTGGTTTTTTAGATAATAGATGAAAAACGTATATATGTGTATCGCATAGATAACCCAAACTTGAAATATTAACCCACCAAATTTGCTGCATTTGAATGCCTAGTATAGAATGACGTAGTCGGCCATACTGAATTCTATAGCCAGTTTGTATCGAATTTTGTTTGTTTTTTAGTGAGTCGAACAAAGTATGCGAACCAACTCGTGCACCCCTCGAAACCCACAACAAATACTAGAATACCAGTATTGAAATACAAAACCTCCAAAACAAAACAAAGCGAAAAACCCGAATAAACCACAAAATAGCCGACAAGAAACACACCCAACCGCAAACTCGATGGAACCAATTGCAACAATCCTGGTCAAATATTTAGTCAGCTAGTTTTGTAGTGCAAGACGATGCGTTACTTTGGCCCTTGCTCATTTTTGTATTACGATCCACAATCTTGCACCTGCACACAAACACAAAGACACACACGACAACACACACACACACCAACTTTTAACAAACACACAAACAATTTCAAGTTTATGCCAACGTGGCGTATGCGCACTTTCCAATAAGAACCCACAAATTGAATGTGTTTTCATTTGATCATCCCAAGTTGAATAACTTTTATATGTGTATATAAATTTTCTAGTATAGCAAATAGTGATATATATTTCATATATGTCTTGTATATATTCTTATGATATTTATGTATGTATATATTATTTCTTTGTCCCCAACTTCTTGCCGCATGTCTTTATTAAATTTTCGATAAATTTATCGATTAGTTTATCATTTTATCTCCGACTATCTGGTTTTTTGTTGCCACTTTTTCCCAGTTTACCTTTGTGTTATATTTTCTTCTTCTTTTTGTATCATAACTCGCCCTGTTTTGTAATTCAAGTGGATTAACCAAAGACTACAGGGAAGTTAATTCAAATTTACGCCTGTATCATAATCTATATAATATGCTTACTTTTTTTTTAAGTCGCTTTTCATTCAAACCATTTGTATTTGCTTTCAATGGATTCTAGACTGTTTTTGATTTTCCTTAAAGTAAGGCAAAGCTTTTGTGAATCTATTCAATGCTCACCTTTTGAGCATGGGCTGTGCTTCTAGTTGTTTGCTTTTTGTTTAGTGAAAATCCAATGTCTTCATTAACCTCTCACCACATACTTAGTCCAGTGTATAGCATATTAGCCGTAATGCGTCTCCAAGCTGCGCTCAACTTTAGTATGCGTAATGCAATATCATTTTTACTTTCAACTCCCTCAAAAGAAACCCCCTCAATCATGACTGAGCAGCAGTGGTAGCAGTTCCAAAATTCGCACAACCCGAACACGTACAATCAGCTTATTGTTTTCAACATCTCCAATGCATTCTATTCAATCGACAAAAAATATAATTAAACAGAAGGTATAAAACGTGAATTGAGCTCAAAGTATAAATCATGCATTCCAAATCACATCAAGTAGAAAGTTGTACCCAGTACTTCCCGCGCTCATGACCCCCATGACCCCCGCCCCGCCTAAGTAAAAGCCTTATTTCAAATTTGATTAACTTTCCCGAAGTTTGATAGTCGATCGATCCACACTTAAATTGCAATCGATTGTGGCCACAGTGTATATAAGTATCCAAAACAATGATAACAGGTACCCGTCTATCTCTCTCTCACTCTCTCTTTGTCTTCTCTCTATGTCCAACTTTGACTCTCTTAGATTTAGAATAAGTATATTTTGTATCTTTGTACTATTTCTCCCACTCAACTCTATCGAACGCTTGAAAGTTGCTAAATGAAAGCACGATTTTTGTTCTCTATTTTAGTTTGACTTCATTCTCTGTTATGATATCTCTCTATCTCTGTATTTCTGAATATCTTTTCTTACACTTTGATTTTGATTTCATAATTTGTTTGGTTACTTTACTCTAATGATTTCCCTCTACTCGTACCCTAAGTATGAATCTCTTAATACATTGATATATATCTATATCTCTAACTATCAACTATAGCATATCATTTACATTTAACAAAACCAAACTCAATCTTAACTATCTAGCCTTATTCCCAGCCAAGAACCACGAAGCCCCTACCCCAAAAATCTAATAAAAACAGAACAAGAAACTGAAACCGACTCGAGCCATGCAAAATTATATTCATTTACTTGTAATACCCGCCATGAGGCTGAAGTAAAGAGAAATGCGTGGTTGCGTACAGTGGCCTACTATGGTAGATCTGGACACAAACTAATTTGTGCCGCACATACACATGACGACTCACACACACACATGCCCATACACACACAATCACATATATATGCATGAGTGTAAACACGATATATATAAGTATATATTTGTATATATTTATACATATATTTTCGCACTCATGCAGCCTTGTTTGTCGTTTTGAGACAAGAGACAGGCCACATCTTAAATAAACCATAAAAGCAATTTTCCAATCGCTTTAAAAGGTTTTCCAATGTTTAATGTTGTGTCCGGTGCACTAACGCCTTTACCCCCGGCTGCCTTTTGTTGTCAAGTCAACTGTCAGTGCATATACCGACACAAGCACACACACACACACATTCACACATACGTGTATTTATACACGTATTCAACTTTAGGAATTTTGACCATATGTGGCAATCAGAATTCCTCTAACTTTAGCTCTGTCTATCTTTTACTTTCTGTCTCTCTCTCTCTCTCTCTCTCTCTCTTCCTCTCTCGCCACTCTTTCTTTCTCATTCTCTTTGTCTCCCTCTATCCCCATTATCTGCTCTTGCTGGCATTGATATTCAAAATGCACTTGTTACTGTCAAAACAATTTGGCATTTGGCCACTTCAATATGCAGACCCCAACCTCCCATTAGACCTTTAAAACCAAAAACCGATAAACAAAAAACAAAAACAATTTACAATTTGCAGTTCTTAGTAAATTGCATCAATTATTTAGAAAAAATCTTTATAAGTTTCCTATTGTCATGCATTCATTTATAGATGACATCGAAATAATTGCAAATTTCACTTTTGACCAGAAGTATATTAGAAATGTATTCTTGGCTTGGATAACTGCAATTATTTGATGGCTTGACTTATAATTTGATTTGTTTCGATTCGTTTACAATTAGTATAAGTATTCGTAATTTCTAGCTCGAAAAGTTATTATGCATTCAATATTTTTGTAAAATGCTAGTACGTACGTTTCATTTGACCTACTATAGCTCCATTATACATAATATGTGTATTCGTAATTTCCGATTTGCTCAGTTTACACTTATCGTTATCTACAACTCCGATTCCAAAAACAGAAAACAAAACAAAACAATATAATTACAATAATAATAACAATCAAAACACAGACAGCGAAACGAACAGCAACACAATGTAGAACAAAGCGTTTCGTCCATTCATTATTATGAGAAATTGATTATACAAATGTCGACTGCAGACCCGATGGTAGCGTCTCTTATTTATTGTACCGTTGGCAAAATCCCCAACACCCCCTCTTTGTCAACCCCAAGTAGTGCCAATCAGAAAGCGCCAAAGGTCTCTGTCTCCATGCGTAGCTAGTAATTGCGTAAATGTCCTACACTCTTGTGCTACGTCATGTCCTTCGTCCAATACACAGATACAACTATACACACTCACACAGACACACACAGAGTCACAGACACCTAGAGAAACTAGCTCCCACCCAAGACACCATCCAATCAAACGACCTGCACTCACCCACAGATAACCAAAGCCACACGCCACGCCCACAATCACAGCCACTTGAAAGACACATTTAGAGACGTTAGTCAACGTGTATAACTAGTGCCCCGAAATACATACACCAAATATTACTAACCCCCTGAATTGAAGAGTTTGAGTTTGAGTTACTTTACTTTTAAAGGTATATATTATGTCGATATTTTATTTAGTTATTTTTTTAATTTTTAGTTTATTGTTCAGTTTGTATGATAAGGAAGAAGGATTACAAATGATATACTTCACATATAGTACAGCAGCCTTTGAATAGTACCAGCCAAAGAGAAATACGTTGACCCAACATAAGACCCAACAATGCGTGTACCCATCTAATGATATAGGCGATCAGGCATCAGGCATGAGGCTTCTGTCAGTTATACAACGATCAACAACATCTTTGAAACGGTTCTCAGATCGAACTCCCAGTTCCCCTTCCCGAATACAGAAAAACTAAACGTTTTGCGCTCAGCTAACCAATGTTTGCTTCAAACTGATTTATAACATCGAAAATGATCCCCAACAAAATTTAACCAATGAAAATTGTATATACGATATACAATATGCGGTCCCAAAAAGCCGAAATAAATATGAAAAGATAAGTGGAAGCAAGCGCTAATTGTTGTAACTCTGTGTGTTTGATTAATTAAAAAAAAAAAGAAACATTTATAATCGTTGTGATGTTGTTGTTGATGATCGTCTCGACAAAGTTTCGATTGTTCTTTACCGTTCACAGGTTATCGCAGTGATATCCATACTATTCATAGTCCTGTCTACCATAGCCCTGACGTTGAACACCCTACCACAACTACAACACATTGACAATGGTACACCACAGGATAATCCGCAATTGGCAATGGTTGAGGCCGTGTGTATCACGTGGTTTACCCTAGAGTACATACTTAGGTTTAGCGCCTCACCGGACAAGTGGAAGTTCTTTAAGGGCGGCCTTAACATAATCGATCTATTGGCAATACTCCCATACTTTGTTTCGTTATTTTTATTGGAAACGAATAAGAATGCAACGGACCAGTTCCAGGATGTGCGCCGGGTGGTGCAAGTATTCCGCATCATGCGCATCCTGCGAATCCTTAAGCTGGCCCGTCACTCAACGGGCCTGCAGTCGTTAGGCTTTACGCTGCGTAACTCATATAAGGAACTCGGTCTACTAATGCTGTTCCTGGCCATGGGCGTTCTCATATTTTCTTCGCTGGCATATTTTGCCGAAAAGGATGAAAAGGATACAAAATTCGTTTCAATACCGGAAACATTTTGGTGGGCGGGTATTACAATGACAACTGTTGGCTACGGGGACATCTATCCCACAACTGCACTGGGAAAGGTTATTGGTACTGTGTGTTGCATATGCGGTGTTCTGGTAATCGCTTTGCCTATTCCCATCATCGTTAACAATTTTGCTGAATTTTATAAGAATCAGATGCGGCGCGAGAAGGCCCTCAAGCGTCGCGAGGCACTCGACCGTGCCAAGCGCGAGGGCAGCATTGTCTCCTTCCATCATATCAATCTAAAAGATGCGTTCGCCAAATCAATGGATCTCATCGATGTGATTGTCGACACAGGTAAGTCGAGCAGATAGCTCTCGGTCTATCTGCCTGTCTCTCTCGCTTTCGCTCTCTCTCTCTCTCTCTCTGTCTATGTATCTCTCTGTAAACATTTGCCTGCTTAATACCAAGTTATCTACAACTTGTATCTTTGTAGATGTATGCTTCGCTTTGCTCTTTACGCTTTTAAGTTCTCTGCTCTATCTTAACTCTATCTTCTCGCAATTTACCTTTATTATTTATGTATGTATGAATTCATTATTTATTTGATTTATTTTTTTTTTAAGATGCTTCCATTCCTGTTGCATGTTTTTTGTCAGCTTCTCATATTTATTTCGATTTCAATTTAATTTTCAACTCTCAAACGAAGGCGTGTAAATAGTCGATTTAATAAATTGTTAATATAGTCTGCCGTAAGATGATAGAAATTTTCGGGCAATTCAATAAACTCATTGTTAATCTAAGTAAGCTTTATGGTATTTGAAAACAATTGTTAACTTGTTAAGCAAATTGAATTACTTTTAAGTTTCTGTAGCCCTTAGGCCTTTGCCTTTAATTGACACCTGCTCAACAATGCAGCCGCGTTAAGCCCAAGCGGACGCTGAACGCCGTCGGCTTTGAAGACAACACAACTAAGCCCCGAAACATACACACACACACACACACACACACAGTTGCATTGCCACAATGGTCAATTAGACAAATGCTTTTGTACTTAGCGCGCTTAGACAAGAAATTAGTGGGGATTTTACTTGTATAAAGCTCCAAAGCGCACTTACCCCACACACAGACAAAAACACACTCCCACGAACACTCACACACACACACATACACACACGCCTGTAAGTTGGCAATTTACTATTTCTTTATTGTGGATACGCCTAATATTTACGTCCAACTCCGCCCTCGTATCTAATTTTAGGCAAGCAAACAAATGTTGTGCATCCGAAAGGTAAAAGACAAAGCACCCCCAATATAGGCAGGCAAACCCTTGACGTACAAAGCGCTCCAGGTGACTAACATTGCGTATACGTAGCGTATAGCAAGCAATCAATCCAGCAATTAATCACCCAACATAATCCAACTCAACTACTTACAAGTTGTAGTCCTTGAAACTTACCTCTAGCGCTTACGTAAGACTTAGCCAATGCCAATTGCCAATTCAGTTAAAAAAGAACACAAGCTTTAGCAATTATAATCCAATAAATAAATTCTCTTTTAGAATCACTCTTATACATATATCAATTCTGTATATCTATACTAACAATCCTTGTATATACAACCGCAATGCACAGGTATTTATCTATAATCAAATATACTCAAGGTAATCTTCAGACATTCACTTAGACTGTAAATATACTCGGGCTTACTATTGGACATCGATTTTGAATAATATTTATTAGAGAATCTTTAGTTGGGAATCTGAATCTGAATCTGAATACTACTCAAAAAAAAAATACTTTGAGAGATATCAAATGTATGTTATTTACCGAAACTCCCTTAAAGATATATTATTGCATATGCTCAACAATTGGTTGCATTGTTAATTTAAGTTTGCATTGAACGTAAAATTTGCTTTGATTATCAATTCGTTTTATGCCGCTGAAACCAAATTGTTTATAAGTTCGTTTGTTCGCCCAAACGATTGAAATCATTACAAAGCTAAGCTTGATTTTCATAGTTACATAAACTATTATTATCACAATATACATAGCAAATTTGAATGTTCGATATAGAGTTGTAAATTTCGAATTTTATTACAGTATATACAAAAAAAAAAAAAAAAAAAAAAAAAAAAAAAAAAAAAAAATAAATTTAAATTAAAAATTTTTAAGTACATTTTAGAAAATTTTCAAGTGCTGATTACATAAATCATATATACATGCATATTATATACTCATCCTCTTAGACGATCGTAGTTCTTAGCTAAAGCAAGTCAAGCCTTCGGATAGAGTTATTTAACAATATTGAAAACAAAGTTAACTACAACAACAAACAATTTGTGTATCCATCAACCAAAAGGAACAAAAACAACAACAACACACACAATTTCAAAATCCAAAATAAGTCTATCCGTAAAACTGAATCTGAAGAACCAACTAAGCTTCAATTTATACCTTCAACTTGTTCTTTTCTCTGCTCTTCTTTTTCTACTTTTTCACACAATGTTAACTTGAACAAATTTACAAAAACTATAAAAATAAAAATAAATCCCAACGCGTTCGATGTCACCAACCAAACAAACACAAATATATCGCCACATCACACACACACTCACACCCACACACACACACACACGCACTTTGGTCGCTACTAAAACAAACCCGTTTCTAACCATTAAACCAACTTTCTTACCTAAATCGGGACTCGAACCACGCCTACAGGCGAGAAAAACACCCTGATTGAGCCGCCCCCGTTGCCATCATTCGGCACACCTCGTCGACGCGCACTCTCTGCTCGCATCCAGGAGCTGAACCGCAGCCTGCTGGAGGAGCGCGACGCCCAGCAGCAAAACAGCTCGAGTGACAACGAGGACAGTCGCTAGAGCGTGGCGCAGTTGCCGAAGCGTGCAACCACAGCAACAACAACCGATACCCACTAATACCAGAGCAGAGCAGCGCTGAGCTGAGCAGACCAGATCCAAGTCGAGCTCCAAGCCCCAAATACACTAAACCTAGCTAATACTAGTTGAAGAGTATCGTAAATGCTAACATTTTATTGTAAATGTAAATTAGACAATGCAACTTGTTATCTACCAACTAAAAACACATTCCACATTGAAAAAAAAAAAAAAAACAGAAATACACTCACACACACACATATATACATATACTTAGCCTTAGGTAAAAGCAACAACTGTAAACGAATTGTTATTGTAAATGTGTATGCAGGCAACCAAGTACTTCCTACAAGCTACTCCAGTTAAAAAGAAAAGCAACCCAAATACCAAAACCAATTATGAGTAACCAATATCCAGTATCCAGTATCCAGTTCACTGTTCATAGTTAGTGCTAGATTATAGAGATTGGCTTCCAGTTTTCCATTTGCTGCTTTAAGGCGAAGAAAGCCCCAATCAATACGAATTACTTGATGTACTTCCGTTAAGGCGAGGCTATTGAAATTAAATGTTGTGATTATATGTAACTGCTTCTAGGCGTCATGAATACTCATATACACACACACACACACACACTGAATACAAAAATATACATTTCAACTCATACACACATACGCCGCTGCTTGAAAACTAAATATCTCTCACATTGCGCATACGCAACGTTGGCCCAGATGCAGCGTTGCGTTTGCGCAATGTTCTCTGTCAACTGTAAGCTGTATTGAAAGTTTTGCTAATTGCCGTAATGCGTTTATTTGAACCGTTTAACTAAATGCCATCAGCACTTGAAAATATTATTTAAATGTCTTACTAAAACCAAAAATATAAGAGAAAACTCAAGGTGTTGAACACTTCTCATTCGATGTAGCATCTGCTCAAATTTGCTGATGTTCCTTTCCATTTGACTTACTTTGCAGCTTGTTCATGTATTTTGTTTGAGCCACACAATTTTTCCTTTGACTCGACATACTTAAAATCTAAGCAAAACTTTCAAGAGCCCCAAAAAGCAAAACATTTACTATGTGCTTCCACGGGGTCGCAGCGGCTCTGTGTGTGTATGTGGCTATCAGAAGGGAGTGTGGGACCAACAGCACCTGTTCCCATTCCAACTACTAATAACACGCCAAACGCGTTACAACAAATGTTCAAAACAATCCGCGTATGCACAATTTTAATTTAGTCTATATACTAAGTAGCTATAAGCTTCCCAAACATTTGTTGAGCACAATAGTCAAAAGTGATGGGCAAACATATATAAGGACTTGAATAAATCGAAGCTTTTATACCCTTTCGGGGCATCGAACTATGAATATATTGAAAAATGAAAATTTAATTTAAAAAATTGCCCACAGCGGCATAAAATGAGAATCCCTCCAAAATTCAAAGCGGCTAAAGAATAATAATAAAAATGAAATTAATGTTGCAGTACTCAGATCCTTGGCCATGGCCAGGAAATGATCTGGCCACGTTTATGCAAGAGTCAGCCTTATTTATGAAATTAGTTATTATAGGCATTACAGAGTCTAAGCTTTTCTAATTTAGTGAGCTCGCCACGCCCACGCGTGGCCATCAAAATTGTATGTAGCTAAACATATACATATACACCAAAATATATATAGCATATATATATTCAATATATTTGTAAACGAATACTTAGCAAATGATGGCAGAATGTTCCTAAAAATGCATAAGCCGAATTCAGCAGAAATAGCAAAAAAAAAAAAAAAAAAAATAAATCGAAATATATATTAAACGATTGCCTTATTTAAACGCAAAACGCGCTTAGTTTGCAGCAATAAATTGTTTTTTTGAAACAGAAAACACTCGATGTATACTCATAAGACTATTTAACCATAGTTGCAGTTGCACTGGCAGTTGCAGTTGCATTGCTAAGAACGAGAAAAAGCAAGTCATTTTTGTTAAGTGTTGAACAATTGTAGATCTAAGCTAAAACGCGTCGAGTAGCTAAATGAAGTTATACAAAAATAATATATAAAACCCATTAAAGAAATATAAAACCAAAAACTATTTCTATGTAAGTGTTCTTCTTCTCTTGTTTTCTATATTATTTCATTTAAGTTTTTTTTTTAATAATTTGCGTTGCAATTAAAAGTATTTTAATTGTATAAGTATTGTTCAAATATTTCTATCATATAAAATCGAATTGGAATCCAATTATACCTATAAAAAAAAATATTATAATGATTCTAGCGGAAAAAACCTTTTACGTGCCTTTTACTTCCAATTTCGTTTTTATTTCAATTACTTTTGTCCTGTGTATGTGTGTACCATTCTTAAGTTGTATATTTATATATATATTAAAAAAATATATATATGAATATATCTGTACGATCTCGATGCGTCAGAGATTAAAGTTATGTAACACTGCATGCCTCCTCTCTCAATTTTATCAACTATATATTTACATACATCTACTCGTGTAGAAATGCTCTAACTACGCTCCTAATGCCCAAGCCAAGTGTCTATCAAATAAACAATAACAACATCCAAAATATAAATCGTATTTATTCCAAGTTCTTATGGCTGTACTTAAACATTTTGTGTATTTTGTAAACATGTCAACTTTTGTGTGTCTGTGTGAGCTAGCAATAAAACCAAAACCTAATACGCTGTATTTCATTTAACAACACAATTTATAACACAACTCTACTTATCGGAATTGCATTTCTACAATGTTTACAGTTATGTTGAATGCTTGACAAATACTATCAGCTCTAAGATCTGTTAATCGATCAATCCATATTTTTGCTTTTACTGTGTACCTTTGTCAAGCTTTGAACTCCAACTTATGTCTATTAACCATTGCCCCATATAAAAGCCAAAAGGTAATCAATGCAACTGTCGCTCAATTAATATAAGCTTCTTGTGCAGGAAAGGCTTGAACTACCTACCAATCAAGCCGATTTACATTGATCTATTATTAATTAACAAAAATCAACAAAGAGTACACAAAACTCCTTTCTTTTCTTTTCAATACCATATGCTCTGACTGGGCATACTTTTACTGATTTTGTTGTCTTTTCTTGAGTTGAGCCTTTCAGTTGTACTTACTTTCGTTTATTGCCCTTAGGGCGGAACCATGAGATTGCGCAAAAGAACCATGAATTGTGACTTTGTTTAGCAATTCAGCAGTCGTATAACTCGTGTAACAATCAACCCTCATATGCGAACTTGCAAAGTATGAGTCAGTCTTTGCTCTCGTACATTTGTTTTGCCGATTTTGTTGGAGCAATTCATCGAAATTTCAATTTAATTTTTATATTTCAAATATAACATACTCTCATCCTATTCATATGATCAGACATTCAAGGAACGACAAACCGCTTAAATACTTACTGTGAATAAAAATCTCTGAAACATATATTAATAATTACCTTACTGAGGAACAAAAGAAAAGACTTCCTACTGAGCATTTGCTTTTTATTAGATACTATGAAGGTGCTTTCCGTTCTATATACATTGCGCCACTCTCTAGCTCACTTGTACTTGTTACAGCCTCACTATTCAAGTAAATGTTGTTTCTAAACACACACTCACACACACACACACACACTAACTCATTCACCCACGCATCATGTACATACTAATCAACTACAATTTGTATCAATATACATCTAGTTAGTCACATCTGTTAATACAGTCGTACATATTGACTTACCCACATAATCGCATTATCCTCGTACCGTACCCCCAGTTGTTGGCCGTTCAATGTTGTTTTTAAATGTAACTAACTACTAACTACAACTACTACTACTACTACTACTACTTGTTATCGTCAAAGTTATTGATCGTCGTCATTAAAGAGTCAACGTCGTCGTCGTTGTTTGAAGAACCATAGCATAAACCAATAGCCATAGCCATAGCATACATCATAATCTATCGTATTAATCGAACATTCATAAATTGCATATCTCTTTCTTTTATTCCTTTTATGCGTTTAATTTGAATTTCGTCTCATTTACGCTCTCTCAACAACAATAAACAAAACAAACAAACGAAACCCAAAAATCATAAATAAAACCACAACAACAACAAATTCCTAATATGCGGCTAAACAAATGCGAATTGACAATATCAAATGAATAATATAATGTCTCTTGAAAATTGCTACAAAATGCATTCATGGCTTTTTACGCGTGCTATCAACGATAACAACAACAACTACAACAACAACAACTACAACAACATCAACTAAACAACCTAAACAATAATAAAAACAACACTAACGTGTCGCGATAACTCCACACACACACCCATACACACCCTTACACACACACACACACACACACACACACATTCGCAATGCAGAAAAGCGCGAAAGTCACACAAGATCGCTAAAAAATTGGCACCGTTTAACCCACGCGCTACGCCGATCGCCCACAGGACACAATCTCTCCCAAGCGGATGTCGATGGCAATAGCACAGAGGGCGAGTCGACCAGCGGCCGCAATCCGGCGACCACGGGCATGGGCTGCTACAAGAACTACGACCACGTAGCCAATCTGCGAAGCTCGAGCATGCATCAAGTAAGTTCCATCCACAGGACCAACTAGCTAATACCCTGCATTTCATTCAGTAATCAATTCTAACAAATTCTCTGCCAAAAGGTAATTTACACAATATCAATCTCTAATTTCATAAATAATCCAATAGACTAATTGCTGATCTGATAGACCTAGAATTACTAACAACATGAATCAGTCCCCGACTGGCTCATTAAGCTGATCTAGATTTTATAAATGTAATTGAGATATATTTGCGAATACAATGATAATACCTCATTCTATATTAAGTATAATATATTCCCCTACTTTATTTTATGACTTTCTATAATAACATTCGTAGTTTATATACTTCTATTATTTATTTCATTTATACATATAAAGAGATTATTTTCGTCGCCAGGTCACTTTGAAATTATTATAAAATATCGAAGAAAACGAGCAAAAAACCTTTGCAGATTTATTTTCTCGCACTAAAATATTTTAAGCTAACAATTAAATAATTCAATCATTTAATATATTGAAGAAGCCATGATTCATACTGATATAATACAATAATATGCCTTTTAGCTATAACAAGTGAAGGGAATGAAATTGGGAGAACTACCAAGTTTCCAATAACTAACATCAAATCAAATATTGTTCCTGATTGATCGAGGCTTATTAACTTTCATTGCCACTTTTACGCAGCGTCGTGGTTCCAGCTCTGAGAAAGATGCAGTGCCGCCCTACAGCTTCGACAATCCGAACGCCAGGCAGACCTCGATGATGGCCATGGAGAGCTATAAGCGAGAGCAGCAAGCAAAACTCCTCGTCCAGCAGCAGCAGCAGCAACAGCAGCAGAAGCTGCCTCCTGCTGCACAGATGCCAGCTGGCGGGGTTGCCAACAACTTGGCCATGGTTGCTGCCTCGAGTGCTGCCACAGCTGTAGCTACCTCCGGGAGTGCTGGGCAGGAGAACGGCGAGGCAGGAGCAGCTGCTGCCTCCACCAAAGGAGAGGATGACACGAGCCTGGCGTCGAACCAGAAGGGATTGCCCATACAGATGATGATAACGCCCGGGGTAAGTGTGGGTGTCGGTTCGGGGTGTATTGTCTACCGATTAAGTGTGTAGTCCAAGCCACGTGCTCGTATATCTTAAATATCTTAATGTTTTCAAAGTTCTTAAACCGTAACTATGTATTAGTAAATGTGAAGCCGTTAACTGGAGCTAAACTATTTTCAACTATTGTATACAATACACTTACCATATATTTTTCTATCGCCATTTGGTTCCCACAGTCTCAAATTACTTCTTGGGGTGGAACACCCCGTTCATAAATGAACCCTAGTTCCTCTTCAGTTGTATCGAATCCGCTAAAATAATTTCGGTCATTTTCTCATTTTCTCATTTTTTTTTTTTTTTTTTTTTTTTGTGACTTGAATATCGCCTAATTTTCATTTCTTTTTTTGGTTTTACTCTCATACGATCATACAAGAAATACTAAAATAAAATACCCCCTAAACTTACCCACATGCGAGAGCTAGCTACTTATAAAAAGAAATCAAGTTCGATAACAACAACAACACATTTCAACTTTTAGATTTTACGGGGACGCAGTAAGGAGGTACATTCAAAGTATACACAAAGAACTCAAACTACTCTACTCTAATGCATACTACTTGCCACTGCTACTCTTTACTATCTATATAGAATCTTTAATTCTATTTAATTTACAAAAAAAAAAATTGAAAGAATTAATAATTTTCACCAAATTGATTTTCAGAGGCTGAACATATTGCTGCATTTTTTTCCTTCTTATTTTTTTACTTTCCTATAAGAAAAACTACGACTGAAAATATATAATTCGATCTTCCAATATTTGCATTTTGCGAATGTCTTCAAGTTCTCAATAAGAACGCATTTCAGCTGCTAGTGTGCTTAAGAGAATTATCTACATTTTTTTATTTATATTTTAGCTATCAAGTTTTTGATCCTGTATTGTTTTCAACTTTTTGCTTATACTCTATGCATATCCTTAGCCGATAGCCAGAGCGTGATCAATGAAAAACTTTAGACATAGAGCTGGCTCGATAGTCTTTAGCCGCTATGCTCTTATCAAGATTTGTAGTATAGGGTATAGCTGCATATTGAATATGTTGATCATATATGTATATACTCATGTAAATACTTATGTATATATATAACTGGATGTTTTTTCTTTGGTTCGTTAGGCTTGATCTAAAACTTGCTAAAATTTCTTGAACAAATATATATATATATATGTGTACATATGGCCAATTAATCAAACGGATTTTTATTTTATTTTTATGTCTACATATAAACAGTAATTTCCATAGGTGCCTACATTTGCATTCCTATTTTCGCCTTATCTATACGCATTCGCTGCAGCTGCTTTTAATGATATGCATTCAATCAACTCATCATCTACCCAACATAACCCACAAACAGAATAGAAACACACACGGATATGTAATTGCAGGAAATATATCTTAACTGGCAGATTCATATAAAATATAACTATAGAGATGGACAACTGTTCAAAGAGGTGTGCTTTAACTATGTATAGCGAGTGCCTTGGGCAAGCTCCTTGTTTTCGCCCTCCCCACGAATACCAGCTCCCACTCTAGTGCCAATGTCAGTGCCAGTCCCCTGAGCCATAGCCATGCCCATCCCTAGGCCAGTGTTAGGCCCCTGCGTTGCTGCGTTAAACGGAGGCAGCGTGATAATCATGGGCACTGGCGTGGGCCGATCGAAGTGCTGCAGCGGCTGCCGCAGCTTGTCGAGCAGTGCGTGCAAGTCGACCGTTAGCTTCGGCTGCACAATGCCCTCGGCCGCCTGCAGGCCGACCACTTGCGAGGAGAGCGCATCCACGTCCTGCCGAGCTGCGAACAGCAACTGATCGTGGGCAGCCAACTGCAGCTGGGCGATCTGCGCACGGATCGCAGCTGCTGCCACCTCCTGCTGGGCATTGTGCAGGGTCGCCGTAATGGTGCGCACATGATTGGCAGAATCTTCGAGCTGCGACTGCGCCGAGCTGGCCACCGCCTGCGCCTTGTGTATCTCAGTTGCCTCCAGCTGGACGCGCGCCTGCGCCACATACAGATGCTGCACCAGCTTGCGCAGCTCCTTACCGCGCTGCTCAGAATCGTCTGGCTCATATGGCGCCTGCTGCTGTGGCTCTGGATACTGTTGCTGCGGCGGATATTGTTGCTGTGGCGCATACGGATGATGCTGCTGCTGCAAAATGTTGCAATTGGGATTGCTTGGACTAGGCGTGGGCGGACTCTGGGCGGACGGATTTAGTGTCAGGCAGGTTGTCGGATTGGACGCACCAACGGGTGCGCAGGTAGTTTCCGGGCTGGGCTGGGGCACGGAGTCGCACGAGATGCCCTCCTGAAGCGCTGTGGAGCATTGCAATGTGAATGGAATGAGCTTCAGGTTAGCTGTGATACGAATACCCACTCTCGTCCTCAGCAGCGTCCCAGTTCTTGCTGTGGTATTGGCTCAGGCGCTTCAGCTTCAGGTCATCCACATTGGAGTCGACATATCCGTAGCCCCGCCTGAGGCGCGTTGCAGCGCGTTTTCCAAACATTTTGGGATGCTGCCGAGTGTGGCCTGATCGTAGGATGGTAAACAGTGCAACTAGAAGAAGAGAGAGACGAGAGACATTACGCATCCTCAGATGGAGCCAAAGAGGTTACCAATCCAAAGCAGGCTGCTTAAGCGCATTTAGAGCACATTTAGAGCAGTTCATTTAGCTTGTTTAGGAGCAAACAGTTTCAAATTCGACTCTGACAGCCGACACACACTCGACTGTCAGCTGTCACCTTGCCCTACCTAGTTCAGACACATCTAGCAATATATACTCCCCACACGCAGCTATCATCTCACAGTCTCGCGAATCGCCTCGAGAGTTCAATTAACGCCGCAGACGCACAAGTTTCGCTTCTCAGGGATCTTGATATTGACGGGCATGCGCATGAGAGTTTTGTTCCATTTAATCATAACCTAATAAATATAATGTAAATATGTATACAATAAATGTTAACTATGCCATTTTTTATGTTATGCGTATGTAGCATGTTGTGTGAGCATTTCTTAAATTTGTTGTATTTCGATTTATGCATTTACATTTTGCCAAAACCCTGAACCCTATTTATAGGAAGTTGCCGAGCTGCGCCGCCAGGTGGCGCTCGAGAACCTGCAAAACCAGCGAATGGACAATCTGGAGCAGGATGTGCCAGTGGAATTCGAATGCTGCTTCTGCACAACCAAGGTAAAATCGACAAGCAAGACAATCGATTTATCTACCCCAGAACACCTAATCACAGTTGAAAGACCACACAATTCCTATTGCACCTGCACTACCACTAAGTAACTCTAAACCTCTGCTTTTTGTGTATGTCGCATGCCTTTCACACTCACACTCAACTCTGAACACCTGAGACTACTTTAGCTGCACTTGCACCTGTTTGATGTCCTGTTCTAACTCTGTTTTATTTTCAACTAACAACTTAACCTATAACAACACGCCACATCATCTGAATAAAGTCTCGAACAAGATAGGTTCTAAATCAGTAGACCCACTATTGGAGCTCATAATTAACTAGATCGCGCTTGGCATAGGCCCCGTACTGGCATTGCAATCAAACTCGTAATCGTGCATCGAGTATTTTTGATCCCGAGTAGCTATCCGCAGTTGGTATTGCATATTCGAATTGAATTGAAGAGGACTGTGTGAATATTGCAGGATCGCATTTGCATCTTTCACGACAGGGAGTATAGCATCAAGAGGCTGGCGCGTCCACCTCCCTCGCCCAAAAACTATCTGGCACTCAAGCGCATGATCGAGGAGGGCACTATCGATATCTATTATCTGTGATCGATTCGGTTTCGATTGCAATTTCGATTCCTGAATGTGGTATGGTAACGTTAACACCCGCACCCCGTCCCCCTCTGTTCCAGTGTCCAAGTGAAGATCGTGTTTTGTGTTTATTGTTTCTTTTCTACATTATTATTTTAAAATCGAATCGATTGATTTTTTGTGTGTGTACAGCAAGCAGAGCACGGCGGTAAAATATGGCATTTTATGTTGACTTTGTTTCTTTTTCATTTCTTTTACTTAAAGGGTTTGCCAGGATGTCAAGGCGAGTGTATTCCTTTGCGCGCGAATAGCGTTTAGAAACTATTGAACTATTGATATAGAGCTTGACTAATTGATGTCAATCATAGCGACGAACACACTGACACTCACACACACAAACACATACGTCTTACAAATTTACTCAACGAAAAGCAAAAAAACAAAATGAAACATAATATTAAAGTTACAAACAAACAAACATGAAAGGAGTTAATTAGCTTTTACTTTAAACACAAGCCTAAACTTAATCTATTGAATATTATTAAAGCTATAAACGTGCGAGAAGAGCAAGCTAATGAAAGACATAGCAAATTCTAAGAATTTAATTAAATTAATTTTACTCCACACCCACACACACACACACACACACCCACACCCACACACCCACACAAATAAAAACGAAAACCGAAAGCAGCATGTGTTATTATCTATTATCTATTATCTACTATCTATTATCTATTATCTATTATCTACATACATACATATATGGTGTATATTATCTATTCGAGTGTTTAAGCTTAAGGCAATGAGATGAGTTTTAAACCAATTCTTTTTTACACACTAAGCACATATTTATTAGACCTAGTATTAAAAACATCGTTTGTTAGTAGCAAAAGAATAACAAAAATATTACAAAATGGAAAACACGGAAATACTATATATATTAAACTGATTTAATTAATTATTTGAAACATTGTTATGCAACAAGAAAACGAAACCAAAAGCAAAACCAAACCAAAACCGAAAAACTGCAATAAATAAATACAATTGATAATCGATTTCAATATTTAACCAGCACTATATTCAATTGGCACCTGATTCTGTTTGTATTGCTCGATTAGTAAAGTTTCAAATCGACTTTTGATTTCACTTAGTCATTTTTATTTTCCCTTATGAATATTTGAGAGCTGGATGAGCACAGTTGTGCTTGCGAAGTTCGGGTAAGTAAGAAGAGACATCTGATATCTTCATTTTTCTTTATAATTATTATTATTATTTTAATTTTAATTTCAATTAAGTTCTTATTTATTTTGGAACTACGTTTAATACAAACTAAATTCGAAACTCAGCGCTGCACGTTTGACTTAACTCGATGCATCCTAGTTGCATGTTGAATGCTCTTGAGAAACAACAAAGCAACAAGCCTTTCAGCAATACTCAAGTGCACCACTATTTACTCATTAACAACCGCAAGCAAGGTACTGGGCGTGGCCGCGTCTTGACCTAGTGTTATTTGCATTATTTGTCATGGAATGTCCACTCACTCTTTGCCTTGCAGGACTTTAAGGAATACACCGATGCGGAGGGCGTGATCTCGCTTCCAACTTCCGACTTCCACAAGCCCATCTGCCAGGAGCTACGCCAGGCTGCAGCCAATCGCCACGCCAATCAGTTCGGCCTGCTGGCGCCCGCCGCTGCTGCCGCACTGCCTCTGGTCCCGGCGTACACCAGCGCCAGCGCCAGCGCCATGATGCCCATCATTTCGCAGTCATCGTCGACGTCGTCCTCGTATGGCACGACCACGTCCACGACCATTGCTCTGCCGCTGGAGGGGACGCAGCGCTTTGGAGCGCCCATTGCGAGCAATTTCAATCACAACTACAACAACAACTTCAACACGACGACTGTGGGCGCTGGGGGCGTGGCGAACGGCCTGCTGCTGTTCGGCAACGGCAACTACGGTGCCAGCGGCAGCAACGGCAACGGCAATGGCAATGGCAACGGCAACAACAACAACAACAACAATGCTGATCTGGCCAGCGTGGACAGCTCGGACACATACGCCAGCTGCCAGACACATCCATTCCTCTCGCAGGGTGATCTCACGGCCGACTTCAATGACGAGGCCTGTGCACTGGACATCGATATGGACAATCTGTATATAAATCCGCTCGAGAAGGAGTCCTGCCGGGGCACCCACATCAGTAGCTCCACGGGCTTCATCGTAGGCCTGCCGCCCACCATGTCCGCCTCCGGCCTGTCCATGCGCGCCCAGGTGAAGAAGAGCGCCTCGGGCGACACGGCGCTGCGGAACCTGGCGGCGGGTGGCATCAGTCCGCTGGGCGATGTCTACCAGAGCTTCGATGTGCAGGAGCGTGGCAGCCGTGTCAGCTTAAACGAGAACTCAGTGCCAAAGCATCGCAAGACGCGTTTCCAGCAGAGCTTCACGGCAATGCGACCCAGCCCGCAGGCCAGCAGCACCAAGCCGCGTGCCAGGTTCGAGGACACTAAGCTGTACGACGACAACGTGCGCCTGGACGGAGGAGGCCTCTCGGGTCCATCCTCATCCAGCGGCAGCTCCGCCACGGGTGCCGCTGGCAGCAAGAAGAAGCGGTCGGCGTTTATGCCGGCCAAGAGCCTAGCCACTGCCACCAAACTGATCAATCAGCGTTTGTTCGGCATACAAAATGCGGGCGCCAAAGGTGAGCATTGGGGTGAGAGGGATTTCATGAGCCTGTCTAATGGTGTTTGGGATTTCCTTCAGCCAAATTTGAGAGCAAGCATTCCTCATCGATAGACTCGATCGACGCGTCGCCGAACCTGGAGCACCACCGGCGCTCCAAGTCGATATTGAAAAACAAGTCTGATATCTCACGCGTGCTGTCCGATCCTGAGAGTGAGCGTCTGTTGGCGGACAATATGTCTGGGTCGGGCGTGTCCGATAACGGCACCGTCATGGTGAGTAGAGTAGAGCTGTGTGCTGTAACTATATCAACTATATCAATTCATCGACCACTCAATTACAGGGCGAATCTGGCAGCGACTACTCACCGAATAAATTACCTCATTCAGTTTTAGCTAAGTCTATATCCCCACCACCCCTTAGGCACCGCAGCCTAATGAATCAACGGTCCGGACCAGCGACGTTGCAATCGAAACCAACCAAATTCCAGACTCCCCGGTACCCCGAGGAGCAGGCACTGCGGCAGGTCAAGCCCGTACTCTCGCGGTCCTCAGCCGCAGCCTCGGCTTCCAGCGATGGGCGCTACGATTCGAGTCAGACGAGGGATAGCAGTCTGGGTAGGTTCACGTTCCTATTGTAATTGGCAATCACTCTCACTGAGTACGTCGCTGAGTAATCCAGTAATTTGGCTGTGAATACCTGTGAAAAAACCAAAAACAATTCTGTTCTATTCCCTCTATCGCTCTATCATCAACGCGCCGTGCCGCTCGCTCCATAGTAACCGTCTTCGACGCTGCATTCTGAACAGCCCGAAATACCCACACTAAATCCACTCACAGACACAGTTATACAAAAACACTGAAGGATCTCCTCACATGAACTCAGGCAAGGCGAGCAAATTAACTAGCTACAACAATCTCACGAGATGTCACTGCAACGGATCCTCTCGAAGCTAATTAAACGTTTCAGCACACTTATCTGTACCCACCTCGTACACCTCGGTCAGAGACCGACCAGCTCTCAAGCAGCTGCGCACCAACTCCGTAACCTACACACACACACACACACACATGCGAATATTGTAGCTAACTCTATTGACTATTGAAGCTGTAGCATTTGGCCTTCAGATAAAGATTTTAATCACACACACACCCGCAGCTTTCTGTACAGCATTTACTGTAGCACCTATGTATTATGTATCCACTTATGTGATTCGGTTACTAACACTCTTCTTTCTGCCCCGAATCCATAGATTCCGAGACGACTTTCACATCACCCGCTCGGCAACCACAGGGGCAGGAGGCGCCCAGCAAGCCGCAGGACAAAAGCCCCGGCGTTGGAGAGCCTAGAGCGGACATGGAAGGACCGGGCGAGGGTGAAGGCGAGGCCAACGACGAGCAGCGAGCGCTGCTGCAGCCACAAAATGCAGATGAGCCGGCCAAGAGTGAAGGAGGCGAGGGCAGCGGTGGGGCTACGTAGCAATTAGTCAACACTCACACGAAAAGCGCTTAGTAGTTATTGTACTATATAAACCAAAATCGAAAAAAAACCTATGGAAAAAAATACAAAATACAAAGAAAAACTCAAAGTGATAGCAAAGTTAGCGAAAATGGAATGTGAATTATATAAAAGCAATGAACAGTATCCTAGTCTAATTTGAAATGCAGAGAGGAATGGCGTTGAAATTGAATATTTTTACAAAACTCAAGCTGAACTAAAACTTTAACTATGTATGAGAATCCGTAAATACACTGAATACCATAAAACACTAAAAAAAAAAAAAAAAAAAAATCTACTTAAAGTAAAATTATAAAAAAAAAAAAAAAAAAAAGAATCACAAACCTGCAAATCGTTGCGATGCCGCGCATGCCGTACAAAATTTAGTAAATACTTATCTATCTATATATGAAAACGGAGCCCCAATATTTAATGCCTACAATAAACATACCAAAGCCCAAAAGATACTAAAAATACTAAACCAAAATACATTTACATGTAAATAGAATCCTAAGCTAAAACTAATCTATTGTAAAGGCAACATTTATTTACAGCTTACAGCATATTTATTAATATATTGACGAAATCACCAGAAAAGCCTAAAGTAAACCGTCGAGTAAAATACAAAGAAAAAAAACCTAAACCTAAAGCAGAGAGCATATTTCATATTTTAAATGCAATTTATATATATATATATATCTATATATGTAAATAGATGTGTGTGTATATAAATATGTATATGTATATATGTATATTTATATATTCATGTATATACTTATACACATATGTATATATATTTATATATACATACATAATAATATTTATACACCCATTGCAAACTACATACATATAATTCGTGGCATATTTACATCTAACAACTAACATACAATAATGCCTATTTTTTCTCAAAGCACGCCACAAAAGACATAAGACATACATATATCTATATATGTAAATAATAACATTGCAGACCCATATACACCATATACATACATGCTAGATAAATTGATAGAAAATTCAAAAAAAAAAAAAAAAAAAAAAAAAAAAAAAACTAAAAAAAAAAAAAAGTAGTTAAAATCGTTACGTCAAATGTTCGTTTATATAGAATTGAATGTGTGTTGTCAGGGTAAGGCTTGTTGTTAGTGCTTTGTTTTCCCCCGAAACTAAAACCCTTCGATTGTTAAAAATTGATTAGAAACTTAAGATGAATATGCGAATAGATTGCCATATGGGGTCAGCAGTTTTTCATTTTAGTTTTGTATTTGTTTACATCCTTTTGATAAGTATCATTAGTGAACTCATCTATGTCTGTCTGTTTGAGAAGTCCATTCTCTTAAGCTCTCTTTAATCTCGTATTATACTTCCAAATATAAAAGAAGACTCGAGACTAACAGAGAATTGGCTGTTATAGTTTCTTTTCGTGTATTCCTGATATGGAAAAAAGTCTTAAACATTCAGATGATCATCTAACTGCCGGCTTGACTGAGTTTTCAAATTGTAGTCTGTTTGTAATGGGATGTCCTTATTGATTATTTTGACCCCTTTTATACTGGAAACATAGGAAAGATATTCGCCTAGTATGTTTGTTTGTGCTTTGCGCCCATCTAGAGATATTCCGGCTAACGTAGTATAGCTATGAGATGTACGTAATCGATTGATAGGTTTGTTTTGCTGTTGTTGTGAACATTAAACATGAAATGACATTTGAAAAAGGTTTTCCTTATTTACCTAGATATTAGTTGATTTTGTGATTTCTTGTTTTCCCTCTTTTTTTTTTGTTTTTGTTTTTTTTTTTTTTTTTTTTTTTTTGGGATATTTCATAGTGATATTTAAAATAGCTTACAATTTAAATGTGTGTGCGTCCCGTGTGTTAGTTCAAAGTTAAACAAGTACTTCAAAAGTTACAAAAAATATTCATAATGTCATATAAGTCGTACTTAAGTATTTAGTCGTGTCTCTTGGTTCCATATATAAGTACTTAGGATTAGAATTGAGCAAACGGTTTTCCTGCGATTTTGTTTCGGTTTTCCCCTACTCTATACTTTTATGAATAAGCAATATATTAAAAAATATGAGCGATATTTTAGAGTTTTTAGGTTTGATTTTGATTTTAGAAAACAATTTCCCAATTAACCCCATGAAAATGTTTAGTCAATTATCCACGTATCAAAATGTGTGTTTCCATGTAGCTCCTCTTCTAAGTTGTGTCCAAATTGAGAAATTAAAAGAAAAACGAAAAAGTACATTCCAAATTGTGTGTATTGATACTGTTAATTAATATATGACGACTGTATCATATGATTGTGGAGTGTGAACGAGCAGAGCCTTCAAATTGACGGTCAAATTTATTGAATTCGCATTTGATAATATTTTGTGGGCAAATCAGCAGGCGCGAGGTCGGCAGTCGACTAAACAAATATAAAAACTCAAATAATTATAATGAGAAAGTATTATTGCAAGCAAATTTTTATGCTAAACCAATAAATTCAAGCATTTATTAAATATTTAAAAACTACTCAGATACAGATATTAACATATAATGAACCACTGGCCATTGTCAAAACTAAATTCAAGAACAAAACAAAAAACAAAAATAAAAAATTAATAAAAAATTAAAAATAAATCAAATAAATTTAGTTACATTTAATAAACTTTTGAACTAACGAAAAACTGAATAGTCACAGCCTCGATGTATCCAACATCTGTTTGTTAGGTTCAATTGGTTGTCAGACATATAAAAGTCATTTCACGAGTCTTAGGAACCTCACGAATAATATACAAATGCCTGCGGATAGCGATGAATTGGATAATGCTAAATCAAATGCAAATTTAGCCCCTTAGAAACATATCAGTAAAGGAATACGAACTCACTCACTCACACACACACATGTACACTCACACACCTCACTTACATACACATACAATGTAAATTCACAAGGAAATTTTATTATGAGAAGCCAAAAATCTCAACGTCCGCTTTTTCAATTGAAGACCCTAAGAGATAGTGCAAATTTAAGAGAAGTAAAGAAAACCTAATTAAAGTAAAGCCAAAAAATTTCAATTTAAGAAATATGCTTATATGATTAAAAAGAAACCAATATGAAATCAGATGAAATGAATTATAGCTAATGCTTAAAGTTTTCGAATGTTTTACACAATATCTGGAGAGCTCTGGCCACATTCCAGTTAATTTGCAATTTATAATTTGTAATTTGTAATTTTTGAAACAAAGCAAAGAAAATGAAACTTTTGTAAATATTTATTTCAAGCTAACACTCAAAATCGCGCCGTTTCGCATCATAGTCTTTATTTACAACCAAATATGCAAACAACAAAATATAAATAAACATATATTGACAACAAAATGGCACTGCAATTTTTTATACAAGAAATCGTTTCGGTTTAAAAATTGTTACTATTTTTCTAAATTATTTTTTAAGAGCTACAGCATTAACATTAAAATTGATAGGCTGCGATTGCAACTGAAACTGCAATTGAAATTGCAAGCGAACAACAATGTCAAAATGTTATTATGTAATATTAATTATTATATTTAAATTATTAGTACGCGGTATGTACATTTTAAAGTACTCTGTCAGCGACGATTGAAGATCAGCGAAACTGAATACCATTAACATAAAAAAAAAACAAAAATAAATAAATAAACAAAAAAATAAATGCTAAATCGTTGAAAAAAAAATCAAATTTATTAAAACATATTACAAATTATATTGAGCGAAATATCATGGAAATATATAAATCATTGCGCAAAATTTAAACAAATCCTTTTTTTTATACCCTGAACCCATTGAAAATGATATAATGGTTTTGATAAAAGTATGTAACAGGCGGAATGAGGCGTGGCAGACCCCATAAAGTATATCTATTCTTGATCATGGCGACGAGGTAAGTCGCTTTAGCTCTGCCGTTCGTCCGTCTGTCCGCATGTTTCAACGCGTCGATCTCAGAAGATATAAGAGCTAGAGATTTGCATTTATTGTTTCCTAGGTCCGCGCGCATATCGAGTTTTGCTTTAAATATCGATAACTTGTCCCGTTATTTTGTTATCGATTAAAAACATTATCGAAAGTCAGTAACAGATTTATATCTCCTACATCTTTAAAGTTAGTCACCAAATTTTTAATGTAGATTTATATGTACATTATGGAATTTCAATTTTTGTCAAAATTTACCTCACCCCTATTTCACCCCCTCCCCATCACATTTGTAAAATACGTATTTCAAAAACTAGACTCTTGTGCTTTGACAAATACATGCATATCTATGTTATATTTATAATCTGAAAGTTTCATGAAGATAGTCTATCCACAAGAAAAGTTATTAAACAATTAAGTTTCCACAGTAAGCCACCACTGCAGCCAACGCGTGTTTATGCGTGCGTGCTTATGCCTGTGTCTGTGCGTGTGTGTGTGCATGTGCGAATAATTATTGAAATATCAGTTGCTCGAAGGGTTCAGAGGATCTCGTAGTTGGGTAGTCTCGACTAGAGCTTTCTTACTTGTTTCTTATAGGGTGGTAAGGCTGAGCTTTACAAGTTTTACACGAGAAAACCCCTCAGCACGATTGTTGGAAAGCTTTTCCAAGCTTTTAAGTGCTGTCAGGTTGCTGCAAAATATATTTGAAAAACTCTTAGTTGATACAAGAACCAGTTTATAGTACTGTGACGAAGTTTATAGCAGAAAGAGATAGAAGTCAATTACAAGCCAGCTAAATATACGATAATAATTGCTATTTCCAACTTATATAAAATATGCTATAAATATATGCATACCATAAAATGTCATTATATGCTTAATTTGGTTTTCATTCTAGCCAAATTATTTCCGAAATGTAATTGACAATTGCAGGTGAAGCAATAGAAGTATTATTAGATTCTACATGTATTTGGAATGTAAATTTATTATTTCATATATCTCTACAAAACTTTTCCGAAATCAGAACTCTAAGGAAGCGTGGCAGACCCCACAAAGTATATATATTCTTGATCAGGGCGACGAACTAAGTCGATTTGGCCCTGGCCGTCTGTCTGTCTGTCCGTCCGTCCGTCCGTCCGTCCGTCCGTCCGTCCGTATGTATGAACGCGTCGATTTCAGAAGATATAAGAGCTAGAGACTTGAATTTTTTTTTCCTAGGTCCGTGTATATCACGCGCATATCAAGTTTTTCTTTATATATCGATACTACTCCCGATATTTTATTATCGATCAAAAACCTTATCGAAAGCTAATTATATAAATTTATCTCCTACACCTTCAGAGCTAGAGCTTGCAAATTTTATATGTAGACTAATATGTATTTTATATAATTTCGATTTTTTTTTGTAATTTACCCCCCACCCCTATATCCACCCCCTCACCATCATCTTTGTAAAAGGCGTATTTCAAGTACTAGAGACGTGTGCTTTGGAATGTACATACGCATTGAAACTTTCATTAAGATTGTACGTATAGAAATTAAATTATTCAAGAAATAAATTCTTATAATGTTACCCACACTACAGCGCAGCCCAAGCGCAGTTAACAGAGCGCAAGGAAAGCGAAAATATGTGCAGACTGATTAGAATATCAGATTAGATGGTTCAGGGTATCTCCTAGTCGAGCAGTCTTGACTAGAGTCTTCTTACTTGTTTTTTATACTCATTCACGAAAGTGAAATGAGTATATTGGTTTTTTGCAATGTCCGTCTTGCTGTACGTCCGTCTATCCGTTCGTCCGTCTGTCCGTATGAACGCAGTTTATTTCGGCACTATTGAAGCTAGAGACTTGAAATTTGAAACACATACACATTTGGAACACATTTTTTAAATTCTGCTGCGCAGTATTGATGCTAGAGACCTGACTTATGATATATATACTCGGACTGACCACCCAAGATCAAAGAGCTAATGTGGATGTCCATCCACAGTAGGGGTGGCTTATATCTCCAAAACTAAAGGCTTCAAATTTGGATAGTTAAGTTACTAGTAACCTCCTCTATCGAAGAGCCAAAAATAATTGTTACGCCTTTTTAGGGGCGTGGCATATCGAAAAATACCTTGTAATTTTCATATTTTTGGAGAGTAGGCAATTAGTAGTAGGAAATTTTGCAGAGAGGTTACCGTTAGCTAGTTCTATGAACTGACCAAAAATGAGGTGTCTACGCCCAGTAGGGGCGTGGCAAATCGAGAAAAACTGCATTTTCTACAATATTAAAGCTAAACTTAGCTGCCAAATTGCTGCTGGGATGTGAATGAGTATTCCGCAGTCGGTAACGACCGACTGCAACGTTCTTACTTGTTTTTATTTTAGGTATTGTGGCTTAAGGTGTGATGTGAGTCTGTAAGCCCAAGCCTGGTGCTCAAATAATCAATGTAACTCAAATATTTTTTTGAATTTTTCATAAACTACGAGAATTTAGATAAAAATATTGAATTGGAGTATAATTAGTGAGACCTTAAGTCCTAAGACTCCTTTATTGAATTCCCAAATCAAAGCCGCACTTATTCTTACATAAATCTAATAATTGCTTGAATGCCCAAGCTCTTTATTGCCTTAATAATTAACTGCAGGGCGACACGTAATGGGGCGTAACACTTCCACATTCATTATTTCAGCTGTGTGTGTGTGTGTAGTGCTGCATAATTAATCAAATTTTTTGCCACGCCCCCTTAATAGGTTTATAAATGCCCAGCGCAAGCAGTTGGCTGGTAATTAGTCAAGATGTACTCGGAGCTGGAAGTGAAAGCGCTGGAGCAGCGCAACTATCATCGGATTAGGGAGATGATACGCGTCACCTACACGATGGGCTACAACATCATGAAGCCAGGACCTTGGGACAACCTCCTTAAGTTGTATGCCACCAAATCAGCCTTCACATAACCTGAACTGACAGAGAATGTCCTCATTCGTGTATTCGCAGCTGGAGCTTGCTGCTAATACTGTTCACGCTCCTCTCTTACTACGGCCACTGGCAGCTGTTCGTGCACTACATGCAGGACATTCCGCGCATATCCGAGGTTGCCTAGAGCACAGACAGCATAGACGTAGCAAACTAATATCTCCTTAACGGCACATATAAATTGTTTTTCATTTTTTCAGTCCATTAGCACAATTTTCCAGTCCCTGATGTCCATTATGAAGATGATTTACTATCTGATGGCGCCTCGCAGATTCTACGCGCTGCTTCGCCTCGTCTGTCGTCACGAGCTGCTGCAAAAGTGCGAGCTGTTTGCAGCTGTCTCTGGTCTGGTTAACCCGACTCTAATCTAATGAGTCTGGCCATGAGCAACGTATCCATCTTTCACTTGCAGATCTGCCTGTGGCACAGCCGCTGAAGCAGCGTGTGGCCAACACCATGGATCAGTGCTGGATCAGCACGCGCCGGCAATTGATGTTCTATCTGTTTTGCTGCATTGGCATCCTGCTGAATTACTTTGTCAATTCGCTGGTCGTCAACATCTATCACGCCCTCACCGAGCCCGACAACAACTACGAAGTGGCGCTGCGTAAGTGCAGGCGAACTGCATACACATACATATTATGGTTAGTTAATGGAGTCAGTCTCCTGTACAGCTCTGCCTTCGCTTTACCCCAACTGGATGGACAGGGGCATGACCTTTCCCTACTACCATCTGCCTCTGTTCCTCGAGAGCTGCAACCTCTACATCTGCGGCATGGGTAGGTGCTGTCGCCTGTGAGAAGAGCTGAACTCGAGTATTTCTTTGCAACAGGTGCCGTTAGCTTCGACGTGCTCTTCATCGTCTTCTGCACGCATGGCGTGGGCCTGATGCACTCCCTCACCCATATGATTGAGTACGCCACCTCGCCGCTAATTCCCCGAGAGCGACGAGTCCAGTATCTGCGCCATTGCATCTATCAATATCAGCGAGTCGAGGCGTGTGTAGAAAACACCAGAAGACGCTCTATTACTCACATTTATTTCTTTCTAATCTCTATTTCCATCTCTTTCTGGCAGCTTTGCTCTGGAGCTGAACAACACCTTTAGGCAAATCATTATCATCCAGTTCATACTCAGCCTCTTCTGCTGGGGTCTGGTGCTTTTCCAAATCAGCATTGGCATTGTGAGTCCCACTTTCCCATACCCGGTTCCCCCTAAAATATGTCCCCTGCAAGCTGGGCACAGAGTATTACGCAGTCGGTCTTGTCCGACTGACTGTCAACCTTCCTTGTCTACTTTCTAATTTCTAATCATCTGTTTGCTTTTTGTTCGACCCCAGGCCACCAGCCTGACAATAGCGCTGCGCATGCTGATGTATCTGGCGGCCGGTGGCTATCAAATCGTCATCTACTGCTACAATGGGCAGCGCTTCACAACGGCTGTAGGTCCTGCATCCTTTTTCATTGGATTCCTTTTGATGGGCCCACTGCTTTGTTTTTGTACCCTTTTTTATCGCAGAGCGAGCGCATTCCAATGGCATTCTACGAGTGTACGTGGTACGAGGAATCCAGGGAATTTCGGCAGCTCATCAGAATGATGATAATGCGCACGAATCTGAGCTTCAGCCTGGACGTATCCTGGTTCACCAAAATGTCGCTGCCCACCCTGATGTCGGTGAGTGCTCCCTGCCCCCGATGCCCGCCTCCCACTCCGGCTCTTACATGGCTGATAATTGCAGATGATACGCGCCAGCGGGCAATACACGGTGCTATTGCAGAACCTAATGCAGAAGAAGTAAAGAGACGGCTCCGAAACTCTTTTCGCCCATGCTAAGCACGCGCTGCTGTTTACCCATATAGCAACACTCTATCGACAGTCAATCAATATATGTTGTAGCTCGGGGCGTGCCATTTGTTTTCATGGGCGGTACGGATAGGCACTGCTCGGCTGATAATTCATTTAGCACATTAAAGTAATGAAATTGCTGGCTGATAACGACACGGGCAAACGCTGCCACAGACTGGCTCCACTGATAACACGCCCCACCCTCCACCGTCCACCCCCTCTTACCCATCGCCCTTCGCCCTTCACCCGCCATCCATCGACCACTGTCACAGTCCGACACTTTGCCAATCAATTTTATTTGTTTATTCAGCCGGGACAGCAGCCGCCGAGGCGGCACATGAAGACGTTCTGGACTACTCGGATGAGACTAACACTTTATGCTTTAAGCTGGCGCTTTCATTGCGCCCGATAATTGCTGCAGTGCCTCCATTGCTGTGCCTGGGGGTGTGGCGCTTCTCGGGTCTGAGCTGGCTTTAGCCTCCCCGAGAGTTTTCTTGTAATATTTTTAATGCATATTTGCTGTTAGTTGGCGCAGTTTTCTTTGCCTTTGTGCGGCTTTTTCTCTCTCCACGTTCCACTCTAATGCTTTTCTTATTTTTTGTTGTTCTCTCTTTTTGTCTCAATCTTTTTTATTCTCGCGAAGAACATCTTTTCCGAGCCTGTCAGATTATTGAGGCGAATGAATATTTTACAGCCTATTGTAACTGTGTCCTTGCTCAAATGTGCCAATGCGTGTATCTGTGTGTGTGTGGGTGTAGGTGTAGGTGTGAGTGTGTTACCTACACTAAAACCGCCTGATTTGAGAATTTATTATTATGACTATGTTTTCTGCATTTTTGCGCTGCACAACAATAGCCATGCCTTGTATTATTCATTCAGCGAAAGAGTGAGCAAATTAGCATATCAGGCAAATGATACATATATGTATATATGTATGTATATATATTTTGCCAACTAGAGCCACGCTAACTACTGAAAGCAATACAAGAGAACACTTTAAAGTTTTCGTGCTTTAAAAGCCCTTTAAAGTATAGTAAAAGTATAATAGTAATAAATTTCATTAATTCCTTTTGCAACCCTTTTAGGCTATCCATATTCAACGGACCTATGATGTTGATGTTGCCGATACTAATAATTTTATTTAGTTCAAGTAGATTTGTTCGCATCACTCTTTGAATATATCTCTGAAATGGCCGCCTTGAGCCTGTACGGGTTTCCAGATATAACTGACTGCATATATTCATATAGTACGTGAGATTAGAGCTTAGTTGTTCACTAAATATTTATTCATAAGTATAAGAGTATTCTTGAATATAAATGTAAATCAAGTGTGGGCAAAGCAAACAGTAAAATAATAACCACATTTAGCATCGTGTAATTTTCTAAATATTAAATAAATGAGGCGGACAGCTGACTAGGGCCGATGGCTCATGGCGTCACAGGTTTGGGTAATTTTTAATTTGGAAACATTCGTTTGATAGGCTCAACCCCCTGAAGCGCGCTAAATACATTGTTTTGCATATTCATGGACAACGCACATGCATATGGGCAAGTGCTCTCGGAGCTCAGACCCACTCATCAGATAATGATATTAAATTGAAAATAACATAAATAATTCAGCAATGTTCATTACACAAACATCAGCCCGCATCATTTGTTATTTGCGGCTTTAACACTTCAACGAGCACAACGAATGCAGCAGCATAATGGGATAATGGGCAGATCGGGTGTGAACGGCTTAATTTGCAGCCCTGGTGGGGACAGCCGCAAGCAATGCGCATTCAATCGAATAAAATAACATACTATAGGTGAATGATTGGTCAGTGGCCATTGACGTACTTCAAGCTTAATTACAAGCAAATTTGATTTGCATTTTCACATGTTGCGAGAGACTTAAGTACGCATGTTTATGTGTATTTTGCTCTGCCTCGCGTGTGTGGGCCTCAGTCATTCCCTTGTGTATCGCTCACGTTCCGGAAATGGCAAACATATTGTGTGTACTCGTGTTTGGCTCATTTCGAAGGTTCGCCCAACGGAATTCCAAGTAGCCCAGAGTTAAACTTTTATTAACAAAATTTGCTTAGGTTTTCTGTGCTCTGTGTGTGTGTGTGTATGGGTGTGTGTAGCCTGCAGACATCCTGACATTTGATGCGTAATCAGTGGCAAATTCGTTCATGTCCATCTACTTATACAATGCGAGGCAAAGCATAAATACACGAGCGCACGTTGCGTATACGCAATGTTGGCAAATCCGACTGCGTGCCGCATTAGAGGACCCTTTGAACAGCACAGCACGCTGCTCTTTTTTTCTTATGCTGCCATCTTTTTAGCCAGATTGTCTTGGCCATAATGACACTAATATATTTCTAGCTGCCTTTGATCAAACTCAAAGATGTGTGTGAGTGAGTGGCTGTCCGCTTGAATGTGTGTGAGAGCCAACCTTTTGACTTTATGCCGAGTGACCACTGTGCTGAGTGTCCCACAGGACTTTTGATATTTAATTTGTTGGCCCTAGCTTCTGGCTCATTTCTGAACTTAATGAAGCAGGTTTCGCAAACACATAGCGACTAGGCTGGCAAGTTTTTTATTAAATTTGTGGAAGATGACCTTCGAAGGTGGCTATTCGAAAGGAGAACTTCTCGGAGCTGCGCAACAGACCACAATATTGCAATTAAAAGCGCCCTAAACTGAGTGCCTGAGCTGTTGAAAATTGCCCGACTATTAAGACACATTTCCTGCCAAGGATCTGCTCAAAAAACAAACAAACTAGCAACTAGCAACTAGCGAATGTTTGTGTATGGAGCGACGAGTTGAGCGTAATTGCTATAAATATGAATAGCAAAAAACGGCTAGAGACGTAGCCAGCAGCTGGCCAGCCGAGTGGCAAAGCAATGGCAACAATGGCCGAAAAGGAAGTGCACTGGAGATAGATGGCATGCGATGGCATTGTTATATGTATTGTTAGCTGTATTCACACTCAATTAAATGAATGAATGCTTGTGCTGAATAAACAGCAAACTGCGCTGTGAATGTCTGTGTGAATGAAGAGAAATACAAATTCGCCAAGAATTGCTTGGCTTAATGTGTAAATGAGTGCCACACGGCCAACTATAGTACGCAGAAATACCCTAGCCAAGTTAATTAACGGGCTGTCCTACTTTATAAAAGAATAAAATTCATAGAGACATATTTAAAAAATTGCTGGGAATTTAAATGAAAACTAACGACAGTGGGAAAACATTGTGGAATATTCATTCATTCCCGATGTCCAACCTATCGAGCATGTCATATACATATAACTTGATTCCTATGCTCAGAGTATATGTCATGACATTATATTAAGATTAAATTTAAGATATATAAATAAAAGATATTCAAAACATATAATACAACTTTTATCAATTATACTTATATAACAAATTCATCATCATTCTCGCTATGTATTCATCTATCTATGTGATGTTCTCGCCTGTAAGATGACGTAAGTGTGCACTATGCAGGTAAAGTTAGTAAAGCCATCTCGTTATTCACTCTCCCAATAAGTATTGACATTAATATCTTTGCAATTTAGTTTTCAACTTAAAACCTTTATATAACATGTAATACTAATTAAAAATAAAAAGTATAAATATTAAGGTTAGACAAGCAAATTTACATCCAAATAGCGTAATCAACGTTACTAACAGAAATTATACAACATATTTGGGTCTTCTTCAACAACTGACCAAATTCGAATTTCATTAAAAGCAATACACATTTCTTTGGCATGGTAACTATGTATATATGTATGCTAATAATAAATATATATAATATAAATAAATAAATAAATATAAGTACATCATCGATAAATACAAAATACAAAAGACTTTTAATATGTAAGAGTAGATACGGCACGACTGCAGTAATACTATAGTAAATAAGAAGTATCTTCATAGTAACTCTTCAATCTAAGCCCTTTGCAAAGCTCTGCCTGGGCTCACTGCAGCAGTTTCCCCTTAGATGGCTGAAAGTATTTAAGCCATTCGTTGTACTCAGCTAGCCAGAGGCAATGCGTTGCGGGGCATAAAAACTTGTTTTCGCACTTGCCTGAACAACAAGTAAAATTAAATTTGCTGCACTTTAATCTTCGGGCGCCACTGTGGCGTTTGCCGGTTCATCCTTTTGCCAGGACGTTGCCAGCATTTCATTTTAGCCAAGACGCGACGTTTCGTATGCGAGTTTCTTGCAATTCACATTCCTTTTTTCTGCTCTATTTTTTCTTTTTCTTTTTTTTTTTTTTTAATTTTGCTCAACTAACTCATGCGAAATGGCACTTTATGCTCTTAGTTGTATATATAGATGTGTGTGTGGGTGTGTCTGTGTGTTTTTGAAGTGTAACTATGGCTGGCTGCGTACAGTTTGAGTTCCTTGGGAATTAGCACTAAGCTGCTAAAATCGTGCAGTTCGCTCCGCATCCGCTGCCTTTCGCCGCGAAACTTTAAGTGCAAATGAGCAGCAAAGTAAGGCGAAGAGTGAAGTGACTGTAAGACGGACAGGAGCAAGAAAGAGCAGCAAAAACTAGAGCGTACATCACAATTGTCCTCTTAAGCTGACTTCAACAAGAAGTTAATGCAAATACAACTTCGTGCGGCGACTCAGTGTCTGTCCGATGAATGTAAACGTCTGAATGACTCTCAATTATTCATGCAAAGGAAACTGTAGTACATCGAGCGAGCACCGCAATGAAAATTCTTAGCTTAACAGGTCTTATTAACATTTTTGCTTAAATATTTATATAACCGTAGAACAGTTAACTTACATAAAAACAAATTGTTTGTTTGAAATAATTTAAATTATTTTTCTCTTAAGGTAGGAGAACAGAAAAACAAAAACTCTGATGGTCAAGTCTGGAGAATATGGTAAATTTTAACTGTTAGATGGTAACTGAATCGATCTCGCTATTTTAAACCAAATAGGGCCTTTGCTTACATTGATTTTTGACACGGTGCATATCGTCGATTTTGATCTTGCACGAAAGCCACTTTATATCGAGTTTTCGCATACCCAAATATGCATGCACTATATGAGAATATGCAGTGCCTAAGCTATGTAGATAATTGTCTCTTTGGGATTACAACTGTGCGCATCGTCCTCACTCATTTGGACTCGTTGAAACTTAGAAATCCACTTAACAACGGTCGATTTGAGTTAAAAGTTAGAATAACTTTTATGAAGACCAAATTAGACTACAACAATATTTTATTCGACAAAGTACTTTAATAACATATTAAGTTCATTTTTATCAAATTCCATTAAACAGAAGTCTTTTCAAACACGAATAGTTTGACTTTAGTTCACGTTTAGTACACACTCTTTTCAAAGGAACGTTTCGTCTGCAGACTAAGGA